AGCAGCTACTTATAGGTTTCCGGCTTTATATTGCTCCCTAAAGCACTTACTAATATCAGACTTAGTTAGTAGTTAATAACCTAGAAAAGAAACCACAACTATAACTAGTACTAAAAAAAGTAATAAGCCTAATATAAGTAAGTTACCTATTATAACTTTAGGGATTAAAGCTAACAGGCCTAAAAGGGTAATAAAAAGGCTACTATTATAAAGGATATTAATAAGAAAAGGGATATATTATTAAAGGCTAGGAATACTAAAAAGGTTAAAAAACTTAATAAAACAGCTAAGAAAGTAGGAAAAAAAAAAGAGATAAAAGGGAAAATTAAGAAGAATACTATAGAGCTAGTCAATAAAAAGTAGCTCTGTGTTATAGTTTTCCCCCTTATTGCGGAGGGTATTTATTATACTATAATTATTTATTTATATACTAACCCTTACAAAAATACGGCTCAGTATAACAAAGGCGGACCTGTAACAAGGGCAGAGGTACTAATCTTGGAATTTTGAGTTTAATATAAATTTAACAAGTAACTTTGGGCTATCAAGGTCCTTGATTTTCCTCAAGGCCTCGGCGGGCCAGTAGTCTCCATGTATACAATAGTCGGTGAGCCCGTCTCTCGCGATGGGTAATGGCAGCAGGGGGCATAGGATTGTCGACTTTCAGGTTCAATATGGCCATTCTACTGTAGGGTCGTCGCATCTGGGCCAACAAAATCCTTGTTGATTTTCTTCTAGCTAATACTCGCTGGGGAGCTTTATGTAATTGAGGGGACCAAATCCAGCCGGCTAGCTGCGAGCAGCTGATATATACAGGACGGAGTATCTTCCAATTGACCAATTCCCGGACCTGCTATACTTGAAAGGGTAACTAACGCGGCCTAGATCTTATTCCCTTATAGTGCATGGCTTAAACATCAAGCTCCTTCTGCAAAGATCGGCAGATGAAGTCGAACGCGAACTTATTGTCACCCCATCTGCTGGCGAGCAGGTTTGCGCACCCACAACCGCCAATCTGCTTGCAAAGAGGTAGAAGGTTTTGTTGACGGGGATTGGAGGCCTCGTCGGTGTGACACTCGAGGATATCGCCCTTGACTTGACAGGCGATATCGAGTTCCGCATTATCTTTCAAAATCGTTTCAGGTGTCTGCTCCCAGTCGGCAAGCTTGCGGGCTGCATTGGCCATAGCCAGGTTGAGAAGAACAGGAAGAATAATGGATGTCTTCATTTTGTTGGAGTATAAGATAAAGTTCTCAAAGAGGTATTGATGGTTAGGATTGTAGCGAATAGAGTTCGAAGCTTGATTTTGTGATATCAAGGTAGGGGACATGTACTGTATTTATATCAAAAGTTCTCCTACCTGAACACGTAGCCATGTCTCGTTTTAGTACTGTATAATCAATTTCAAACAATATACATAATGCCATGATAGATGCATGAATTAAACTCAAGAAGCGTCATGCATCTTTTGAACAGCTCACTGTTATTTAAGAGATGACGCATACAGCTAGGTGTTGCATTGCAGATTAATAGCCCCAGTAGCTACCTGGGGCTAATTGACGTTTTAAGGGGCTTTACATTTTAAACCAGACTTCATGCAGAGTCATGCATGCGGTTATAATGCGTTATGCGGGATGTGGGTTATGGGCCAATAGCTAGTAATGGCAACACGACATGAGCCAATCCAACTATCTGTCCTGTTTTCGGTTATGCGTAGAGATATATTACCAAGCCCACTTGACATAGTCCTTCTTATGCTACTCGGAACGAAGTGTACACGTACTTGTTTTACCGACATTGTTGGTGGCATAGTTGGTAGCTACCCACCTAGCGAATTCCTTACAGGAGCTTGGAAGCCCCCAAAACCCTCTAGAAGGTGGTGTAGCTTCAAAAAGAGAGAAAGAAACGTGAGTCGCGTACGCAACTATTGGAGGCGCTTCATCCCATCGAGCCGAGACCTTGGCATTACGTTGGGCCAGAGGACGTCTCCCACCTGGCGTTACTGTCGGGTAGAGGATGGTGTTACACGGAAAAGGCCCAACGGATCGTGAAGCCCAACAAAGGGGTTTCACGCCGATATAGGGCTTGTTGGTTACACGGCTAGAACACGTGCCCGGGCAAGGACCCTAGGCCCGGGCGTTCCTTTCATGTATATAAGGCGGTCACCCTTCTCTCCCTTCCTTGTAGCAACTCAGGACCTTTGACATCCTACGAGATTATTATTGAATTGAGCCCTTTATCGCTCCAAGCCTTCATAACCGAACCCTTGTCACAGATGGGAAGGTATTGACCTCGGCCTGGATTCATTCTCAAGGGATGGAATGGTCGTATTGCCAAGGCTGCTTGGATAAGAAATGTGAAAACGGCGAGCGCCGTTTAACCCGCATCGTCGGTTCCTCTCTGTCTGGCACATATGTGCGTTCAAAATAACAAAGCTCAACTGGCATGACTTTAACGCTAAAGGACCTATAATCGTGCTCTAAGTGCATCCCCCTTGCCTACGACACTGCCGCGTAACAGCCTTGTTCCGATATCCCGAAGGATATGTTTCTGATGTTTTCCACTCCCCGTCTTGGGGAAGTCGTGTCCAACGCCAGGGTCCCCGATCCAATACACATATCTCGGCGCTTTATGGCGGCCGAGTGTCTGCTGCACCCAGCGGGCGATGCCAGCATCATCAGGCCGAGGGCAAGCCTCCTTTTGGCGAAGAAAACACGCCACAGCTTCGCCGTACCTCTCGTCTGGTAGTCCAATGACACTGGCTTCCACGACGCACGCATGAGCGAGGAGTCGCTCTTCAATTTCCGTCGGTATGATATTTTCCCCCCCTACGGAGGGTTAATCTGTGAGATTCACCCCATAGAAAACCAAAGCTGCAACGGACATACCTCGTATTATCATGTCTTTAATCCGGCCCGTCACACGGCAATATCCTTGCTCGTCAATGACACCCTCGTCACCGGTATGCATCCACACGACACCATCAGAATCCGCGCGCATTACCTCTGCCGTCTTCTCCGCGTTCTTCAAGTATCCCTTTTGCAAGGCATAGCCGCTGGTGCAAATCTCGCCACGAATACCCCGAGGCACAATACGACCTCTGGAGTCGACAATTTTGGCACCGGTGTGCGGGAAGACGGTCCCTACCGAGGTGAGGCGCTGCTCTATCGGGTCTTGGAACCCCGTGCCAAAGGTGACGGGACTAGTTTCAGTCATGCCATAGGCGATTAATACAGTCTCGAGGTTCATTTCATGCTTCAGTCTGCGCACAACCGCTTGCGGAACCAGCGCTCCCGCAGCTAGAGCCTTTTGAAGCGACGACGTGTCCCGCTTCCGCCTTTTATTGACCTCTAGTTCCACCAAGAACATGGTCGGGACGCCGTATAGAACGGTGCATGATTCCGATTCGATGCTGTCGAGAACCAGGTCCGCGTTGAACTGTGCAGAAGGAAAGACGATCGAGCTCCCGTGGGTAAACGCGCCAAGAACACCCATGACCAGGCCGAAGCAGTGGAATAATGGAGGAGGGCAGCAGACTACATCTTTTTCGGTGAGTCGAAGTTGGTCGCCAACAAGTTTGCCGTTGTTGATTAGGTTCCTGAGTAGATTGTTAGCTTGCAATGCTTGAAATCGTAGGCCACGTGTCTTACATGTGGGTTAGCATAGAGGCCTTGGGTAAGCCCGTTGTGCCTGACAAACGATCAATATTAGCCTTGGACACGCTGTGCAGCGCCAGTTGGACAAACCAGACGTAAACTGTATATTGAGCACATCACCAGCTTTCACGAGAGATTCCTTCTCCGCAAGCAACGAGTCGCTGACATGAGACAACTCCGCTTTGCCAACAAAGTCATCATATGTGGCAACGCTCAGTCGGTTGTCCCGGGACCTGAATGACGAGTCGAACAGCACGAGCCGTGCGTCGTCGCTACCATGCTTGTCGAGATGCTCGAGGTGCTCGGACAAATCCCCCTTTGGACCGGAAAACTGTGCGGCAAAGATGATTTTACACTCTGTGTGGCAAGTGAGTCATTTGATTACATGTAAGACACGGATTACACACCGGAAAATGCCACGGCTCGTAGTAGTTCTGTAGGGGTATACGTGGAATTCAACACCACCACGGGACAGCCAATGCGAGCAGCGCCGAAAAAGACCTCAATGTATTGGTAGCAGTTGCCGGCAGTAATTGCTACACAGTCTCCATGCTGGAGCCCGGCGGCTAGCAAGGCTTTGGCGACGAGCTTGCTTCGGAGTGACAGGCTGTGGTATGTCCTGGAAATGTTTTGCCACGGAAATACGACTGCGGTTCGCCCTCCGTAGTACTTGGCCTGGGTCTCGATCAATTCGCCCAAAGTCATAGTCCATAGCGGATTGTCAGTCGCCCCCGCGACAATGGAAAGATTGGTTGGGTGGGCAGACATTGTAAGTCGCGGGCTTGCTGAATCCGAGGGTGGCGGCAACGGTGAGTAGACGGTGCTGCAGTGCATCCGTGGGCAAGGTGAACCTGTGCCATTGAAGTATTTCCTCGACACCATCTACTAGTATGCGTCGGTCAGTACATTCTACCAGCAACTGCATTATCGCACCCAGTCTGAGTCCCGGTAAAGGTGCGCCGACCGGGGCGACCGGGGCAATCGGGCCGTGTCCGGGTCCGGGTCCGGGTCCGGTCGTTGTCGGCGGCTTGCACAAGTGCCATGCCTCTGGCTACCATGAATACGCCAGCCTGGACAAAAGTAAAGAGACAAGCCCGCATCAGAGTATGAGGTCAGCCACCTATCATTGCATCATTCCAGGATACACCGAGGAACCCCTTTACAAACAACAGCATGTCGAGTTTCAACGCATTGCCCGTTGCCGAGTCTTTACTCAATCTCCGAGACCCCCAGTGCAAGGAGAATCGGAAATCATGGGAGCCCATCATGCAGAAATTTGAAGCGGCTTCGAGGCATGTCACCACAGAAGCCACGCCGAGTTCGCTGATCAAGCACCAGTCGAGGGGCCAGTTACTCGGTGAGCATCTCGCACCGCAGCAAAGACGTCGACTGCCCGCTAACATCGACCCTATGCAGCCCGAGACAGAATTTCCCTACTGCTAGACGAGGACTCGCCCTTCCTCGAGCTCTGCGCGTACGCCGGTTTCCAACAAGACGACGCGCCTCCGTGTGCCAACCTGATTGCGGGCATCGGGAGCATCTGGTAGGTCCATCGACGCAACTTGACGTGTTTCTGCGCCGGGCTGACCAAGATCCCTTTGGCGCAGCGCTCGACCCTGTCTCGTCTTGTCACACATTCCCACCCAGAGCGGTGGTGCCTGGAATGAATTCACTGTCCCCAAGCAGAATCGCGTCACGGAAATCGCCACCGAGAATCACTTGCCCATTGTTGCCCTGGTGCAGTCGGTACGCCACCGTCCCCATTGATGTTTCTTGATTCCACGTCGAAAACAGCACCTGACTTCATCTAGGCCGGCGTATTCTTGCCCCAGCAGTTCAAGGTTTTTCACGCGGGCGGCCAAATCTTCCGCGACCTCGCGCGGCGGAGCCAACTCGGCCAGCAGTCATGCGCCATTGTGTTTGGATCTTCGACCGCCGGGGGTGCCTACCACCCTGCCCTGTCGGACTACAGCATCTTTGTCAAGGACCAGGCGCAGGTGTTCCTCGGCGGGCCGCCTCTGGTCAAGATGGCGACCGGGGAGGTGGTGGATGCCGAAACGCTCGGCGGCGCGGCGACCCATGCCCGGATCACGGGCCTGGCGGACCAAATTGCCACTGATGAGTATGTGGCTCGGACTCTGGCCGTTGGAAAACGGGACAAGAGGGCTTTCTAACCGCGGAAAGTAGGTTCGATGCGATTCGCAAAGGTCGAGAATGGGTGGCCTCGCTGGGACAGTGGCCGTTACCGCCCGTCGCGGCCGCTCATGTTCCCCTTCCGCCTCGATACTCGATCGAGGATATCCTCTCGATTGTTGATCCTGATATTCGTAAGCCGTTCAATATGAGGGAAATTATTCTGCGTCTCGTGGACGACTCTCGCCTCTCTGAGTTCAAGCCCAGCTATGGTCCGAATCTGCTCACTTGCTTTGCAAATATAATGGGTGCGTGTCTTTGGCTCGATTTGGCTGTTTGTCTACTGACACACTTGGCAGGTCACAGTGTTGGCATCGTTGCCAACCAAGTTCCCGTTATAAACACGGATGAAGCTTCCAAGGGCGCTCAGTTTATTCGTCTTTGCAACCAGTCGTACGTGCGCAGTTCCAGCCATGTGTATTCTGACACGGCCCAAGTTCTAACACAGATATATAAGCAGCAATCTACCCATTGTGTTTTTACACAACGTCACGGGCTTCATGGTCGGGACCAAGGCAGAGCACGCCGCCATTATTAAAAAGGGCGCGCAGCTGGTGTCTGCCGTCAGTTGCTCGACGGTGCCTCACATTTCCGTCATACTCGGCGCGTCCTATGGCGCGGGCAACTACGCCATGTGCGGGAGGCCGTACAAGCCTCGATTCCTATTTACCTGGCCCATTGGGCGCTGCAGTGTCATGGGGCCCGACCAGCTGGCCGGCGTGATGCAAACAATCGAGGCGAATAGCGCCAAGTCCAAGGGGAAACAGGTCGACGGTGCGGCCGCGGAGAAGAGGACGCAGTCGCTCAAGGACAGTGTGCAGCGAGACAGCGAGAGTTACCGGACCAGCGCGGCTCTCCTCGACGATGGAGTCATTGACCCGCGTGATACGAGAGACGTTGTTGGGATGTGCTTGGAGGTGGTCAAGATGCCGGGTGTACAAGGCGCGAGCGCTCATCGTGTCCTGGCGAGAATGTAACTTAATAAGGGTTGAATGGAGACGTTTACGAGTTTGTACTTGACGTTGAGGCATCTCAATAATATGCAAACATGTGAGGCTACTCATCTGTCTGAGAAAAACTGTGCCGACTGTTCCATATCCTGGCATTGCTACGAAAATGACTCGACTACATCTACTCAATCACACACAGAGCTCTCCCCTCGTCCACAGCATCTCCCTCGCTCACCATGGGTCTAAACACGCCCTCGACGGACGCAAAAATGTTGATTTCCATCTTCATACTCTCCACTACCATGACCTTGTCGCCTGATTCCACCGTTTGCGCAGCATCTCTCAAAACGGAGAGCACCTTGCATGGCATGGGGGCATTGATGTGTCTGCGCTTTTCGCTCGACGCTCCCACCGTCTCCTCCCGAATGTGTTCAAAATACGAGAGAATGCTGAAACACGTCATGTCCGTCCATGTCCCCAGTTGCGGGACGTGGCACATGACCCTTACTCCCTTGGCTGCTTGGCTAACACCGCCTTGGCCAATGTCACTGCTCTCGGTGGCGATTTGCATCAAGAGACGATTGCCATTGAGCGACGCGTGCACTGTGGCTTCGTACCATGGCGAGAGCGACCGATCCAGGGGCCTCACGGTACGGACGGTGCACGATTTGATGGCAATCCCGTAGCTTTGCTGCCCTGGCAAGACACCTAGCCGTAGAGCATTGCTCAACTCGTTGTATCGTGCGGTTACATTTGCAGCGTTGGCCTCGGGAAGTGCGGCCATGTTGCCATTGTCAAGTCCCGTCTGCCTCCCGTAGCAAGGTTTGGACCAGGAACAAATGAAGGGCTGTTTCGTCAAGGCCTCATTGTCGACAACGACGATACGGCGGCCAGAGTGGTTCACCGAGTCGAATGATTGATTGCGAAAGCCTGATGGAATATTGGACAAGGCCGACGCGCTGCCCGATAGCTCTGTTTTCAGTGTGGTGCCCATGAAATACGATGCCAAGAGAGGCAACGCAGATGCAATCTGGGAGGCACCCTGGGCATACGGAGACGACAAGAGACACGACAAGTTATCAGGAATGAAGGAGGTGGTGTAGGCTGGATTCGAAAACGTTTCGTGCAGTAGGCAGCTTTGTAGGAATAACTGATTCGTCCCAACGCCAACGCAGGCCGTGTCCGCGAGAACCTGTATCATCTTGGCCCGGGCCAGGGCGCGCGTCGGTTCCCAGACGACGATTTTGGCAATCATGGAGTCGAAGTGGATCGAGATGCGAGAACCAGTCTTGATTCCCGTCTCAAATCTGACTGAGCTCGTGGCAGAAACCTCGCCATGGTCTGTGGCAGGCCTCCAGAGCCGGACGATGCCGTGCCCCGGGTAGAAATCGCGCTGCGGACTCTCAGCGCACAGTCGACACTCAATCGCATGGCCTGTAGACTTTACTTCCCGAAGCGGCTCAAGCCTTGTCAAGTCGCCTCCGCCTGCAACAAAGAGCTGCAAGGCGACAATATCAAGCCTCGTAACCTCTTCTGTGATGGGGTGCTCAACCTGCAGTCGCGTGTTGACCTCCAAGAAGTAGAAATTGCCCGTGGCCACGTCAAAGACAAACTCAACGGTGCCTGCGTTCTCGTAATTGAGAAGTCTGCCAATTGTCACTGCGACATTGCTCATCTCTTTGCGCTTCGCGTCGTCCAGCCACGGCGATGGCGCCTCCTCAATGACCTTTTGGTGTCGCCTTTGTACAGAGCAGTCGCGTTCCCCGAGAGACAAGACATTTCCATAGCCGTCTCCCATGATCTGAATCTCAATGTGTTTGCCTTGCTCAATGTACTTCTCCAGTATGCAGTCGCTCGAGCCGAAATACCGAGCAGCTTCGGACCGTGCCGTTTCCAGCTCGGCGCGCAGTTGGCCGCGTTCTCGTACGATGCGCATGCCCTTGCCGCCACCGCCGGCAGAGGCCTTGAGCATGACGGGATAGCCAATCTCGTCCGCTAGCCTTTCCAGCTCGGCAGGCTCCTGACTTGTCCCTGCAAACCCCGGGATGAGAGGAACCGATGGCTCATGGGCGCGGAGATGTGCCTTTGCCGATCTCTTGTCGCCCAGTGTCTCCATGGCGCTTGGACTAGGCCCTACAAATGTGATGCCTGCATCGCGGACCGCCGTGGCAAAGGCGGCATTCTCACTCAAGTACCCATACCCAGGGTGAATGGCATCGACTCTGTTCTCTACTGCAACACGGACAATGAGGTCAATGTTCAGGTAAGGGTTGCCACCGGGCTGGTCTATCGAGCCGAGGCCAACGGACTCATTCGCTGATGTGATATGTTGTGATGTATCGTCTCTTGAGTTCGGCATTCTGTTAGCCACCTTGTCCAAGTTCGTAGCGCTACTCCGTGTCGTGCTGTGAGAATACGTACTCGTCAACGTAAATGGCAACTGAAGTCACATTGAGCTTCCTGCAAGTGTTGATTATGCGACACGCAATTTCGCCTCTGTTGGCAATGAGAAGGCGGCTTATGCTTGGGCGTCCCTCCGAGTTCACTGGTAAAGGTGCGACGAATTTGGCCGGAGGATCCATGGTGGCGTTGGCGTCTTCAGTAAGCTCTCGAGGGCATTCGGGT